TTTCCATTTTTGGAGTTAGAGAAGGATCTACAAGGCCAATAAAAAGTTGTGGGACTAGGTGTCTTGCACTATACTATGAATTGCATGACTATTAAACCTCATGATAATAATAAACAATTAAAACTACAACAATTATTAATGGAATGGATTATTTTCGACAATCAATCATTAAATATATTTAAATCTGATTCCTTTAAAACATTTATTAATTCACTTGACCCTGCCTTTTCTATTCCCGATGTTAAATTTATAAAACAATTGATTCATAAATCTTATAATCATACACTTCCTCTCATTATCAAACACATTGAAGAGAATGCATTATCAGTTAGTTTAACCACTGATATGTGGACTGGTCGTAATATATTAGGATTTCTTGATGTAACTTGTAGTTATTTAGATGAAAATTTTAAAATGCATGAACAAGTACTTGCTGTTGATTATGTAAGATACCCACATACTGCAAATCATATTAGTGATACATTATTAGCAATATTAGATGAGTGGGGTGTTCGTGACCTAACTCATATTATTACTACCGATAATGGATCCAATATTAAAAAAGCAATTAAAGACATGGAGTTAATCGCTCCTAACATATTTTGGCAACCTTGTTCAGCACATACTCTCCAATTAGTGATAGGTAAAGGCTTGTCAGTAATCAAACCTTTAGTCAAAAGAGCAAAAAGATTGATAGATTTTTTCCTCCGCCCTAAGCAAAGTGAATGTTTGATAAATATTCAAATGCAAATGAAAAGACATTCTGATGTGGTAATTTGATATATATAATTTAAGTGATATTTTATTATTCATTCATTCATTTATATAATTTTTTTAATTTAGGATTTATCAGAAACCTCCAATTATTTTATTCAATGTATAGGAGATGTTCCAACTCGTTGGAATTCCAGTTATCTTGCTTGGACAAGACTCATAAAAATCAAAGAATTTATTTCATTGTTAGCAAGTTCTATGGAATCTGAATCTGATTATGATACTCGAAAAGATGGTAAAAGGTTAAAAAAAATTCTTCTAAGCGATGAAGAGTGGGAGCTTTTGAAGGAATTAGTTAAAATCTTAAAACCATTTGAAGAAGCAACTACATACCTTGGTGGAAGTTCTTACATTACATTCAGTATGATGTATCCATTAATACAAGAAATTAAAACACGTCTTAAAAATAACATCCAATCAAATTCCATATCTGATTTTGAGACATTTAATTTAGAAGAATTAGATGATGTTTTTAATGGTGAATTTATTGAAGAAATAGAAGATGCCGAACAAAATGATTTTAATCTAAACCAGCCAATGCACACTGAAGGTATACTGGGTTTAACTAATAGGGTTTTATATAATGCAATGAATTTTTACTGGAACTTTGAAAATAAAGAGTATATGATTGCTGTTATGTTAGACCACGTACAAAACAATTGACTTTTATTAGAGGTAAAATCATGTTTTAAATTTTAAATTTTATATATTAAATTAACTGATGTCTTTTTTTATAGAACAGAATATAAAAGACGATTATAAATTGAATTTACAATTGAAATATAATCAGATATCAGCTCAACAATCAACAATCACCAATATTTCATCAACAAATGTAAATCGAGATTGCACTTTAGTTGAAACTGAAACACCTACACTTTTTTCAATTTTTAATATGTCACATCAAAATCCATCTTCAGATGAAATAAGTGAATATTTAAAAGAAAGAGAAATTGAATTTACCTGTAATCCTTTCGATTGGTGGAATTATAAAAAATCTAAGTACCCTATTCTTGCAAAACTTGCTCATCAATACCTTTCTGTCTCAGCAACCTCAACACCAAGCAAAAGATTATTCAGTCATGCAGGGAATTTATTGACTGCTAAAAGATCACATTTAGATTTAGAATTGTTTAAACGAATTTTGTTTTTAAAAAGAAATGCAAGTTGTGTTGAATGTATTCACCCTTTATAATAAATATAAATGAATTGTCATAAATTATTAGCATTACTACTCTTTTTGTAACATTTTATACTAATATTAATATTGCTGAATTATCTGTTCAAACTGCGGATGATCTGTACAATCCAGATGATCTGTTCAATTTCACGGATGATCTGGATAATCCGTTTGAATCCGACAGATGTATTTTTTGAGCAATTAACAGATGATGGATTGATTTTTTGAGATAATAGTCGTGTGACATTTCCCTGAGGCTGCTTTTCTATATGTGAAAATAAATTCGAAATTCGTGTCACATGAAGT